TACCACAACGGTTTCACCATGTCGCGCAACGCATGGGCCTGAATGCTGCGACGTCGCCCTGTCGAGACATGGCTGTCGATAACGCATCACCGATTGTGCTTTAGCCCTGTGCTTCATACCACTCCCTTTATGCACCTCGTTGAAGGTCCACGCAAGAATTGAGGCCAATCCAACACCATACCACAACGGTTTCACCATGCCGCGCAACGCATGGGCCTGAACGCTGCAGCGTCGCCCTGTCGAGACATGGCTGTCGATAACGCATCACCGCTTGTGCTTTAGCCCTGTGCTTCATACCACCCCCTTTATGCACCTTGTTGAAGGTCCATGCAAGAGTTGTGCCCAATACAATACCATACCACAACTGTTTCCCGTTTGGCACTAGTGATCGTCGTGTTAGAATATCGTCCAACGACGTGTAACCGTTGTGGATAGCATACGTGTGCTTAGTACAATTGTCAGAAGAAATAGTTCTGGACGCTTTTTGTGTATGTGACATGAGACAAACCCACTACCTTACCACAACCCCATACTATTACATTAGCAACGAATTTTTTTATGATTGCATTTGTTGTAGTTTTGAATTTTATTTAGCTTGTATGTGCAACGTTGTTCGTTCGCGTCAGCACTGTACTTTGCAGGGTTTAGGTTACATTCGCTCTAGTGGTTCATAAACCGTTCTAGCATGTGCAGTGATTGATGCGTTGGCAACACTGATTGGCCGACGCATCTCAAACGACCCCTCCCGCAACACAAGCACCAGCCAAGCGGTACATCCGCCATTGAAGTGGCTGTGATCAAGCGGTGAGTGGGTTTATGATCGGGTGGCTAAACGTACACCGTCTGATCTAGCCTGATCTGATTACAGTCATCTCTCTAGTCTTGTAGGCCACCCCAACCACCCTTGTGCCCCACCCACCTGCTTCCGTCACCCTCTGGCCCACAACTTTGACGCTGCTCGCTGTTTGACACAGGCGTTTCCAGATCGCCCGTGACTCACCAGTCGACTAAGTAATGGGCCGTAGCTCTGTGCCTAGCGACTACTATTTCAGTTTTAATTGAAGCAGAGGTTTTCGGAGAGAGATGCTTGAATAGACCGTCCAGTCTCCCTTCGTTACATTCATTTGCGGTTCCCCTAGGAAACCGGCTCAACCGTTCCGCACGTTAGAAATTAGCATTCGTACTACAACCATGACACGTGCAACTCGGCAAAAAGAAAAGGAGGAGGAACAGGCCGGACGACGCGCGACAAGGAGGCTGTTTGTTCAGACCGATCGGGGGGGTGTTGGCGGATCTAAAGCTACTAATGCGTACGCCACGCGTGGCAGTCAACAGAAAAAAGTGGCAGGAAAAAGGCCGCGCTTGGACAGGAGAAGTCCGGGAAGAAGGCGGAAGACAAGGGGAAGCAACCAACACCACGCAAGCGTGTTTCTACCGTGAAAAAAATATGCGGATGTTGCCTCTGGTGGAACCGAGCCCGGTTCGACTAACGACGGCACCATCGGCGGCAAAGAAGATCCGAGGCGAGGGAGCGTGAGTCTTGCAGTCTCGTCCAGCAGCAGCAGCCTTGGGCAATGTGCCTTGGTTTTGGACATTGGTTTTGGTTTTGGACATTGGCTATCTAGGGGCAGTGCCCTGAGGCAAGCGGGCAGAGGCCCGAGCGTGTGAGGCACACGCGGGAACAGCAGGGGCTGGCTCGACTGGTGAGTGCATGCTTCCAGCAAGTTTTGTGCAAGAGTGAGTTGCAACAGCTCCTTCAGTGAAAAGACCCCACCTTGCTGCAGATTGCAGCACCTCCAGCGCCCACACTCACGGTACGTCGCAAGGTTTTTCCTTGTTGCTGTCGTTGTCTCTTCTTTCCTCGTTCCGTTCGCCTCCTTGCTTGTTCACGGTACCTCGACTTACCGCCGTGCTTGTTGTTCCATGCAGCACACTCAACCCAAGCGCATGCAAGGAGAGGGGAGGCGTATGGGCGCGTGGCTGAGGTGGACGGCGCATGGCTGACGTGGACGCGAGCGTGATGGGATGACGCACGGCCGGCAGTCACAAGCGTGTGGCTGCCTCCTACCCGCCCTGCTGACCACGCGCTCGGAGGCAAGGCGCGGAGGAGCAGACGAGGATGCGGCGAGGTGGAGTGGAGCGATGGGTGGGTGGAGGAGGATGGGTGGGCTGCTTGATTTGGCTGGGTTGCTTGCTTGGGGTGGGTTGCTTGATTGGGGTGGGTTGCTTGATTGGGCTGGGTTGCTTGTTCGGGGTAGGTTGCTTCATTGGGGTGGGTTGCTTGATTGGGGTGGGTTGCTTGATTGGGGTGGGTTGCTTGATTGGGGTGGGTTGCTTGATTGGGGTTGGTTGCTTGATTGGGGTGGGTTGCTTGATTGGGGTGGGTTGCTTGATTTGGGTGGGTTGCTTGATTGGGGTGGGTTGCTTTATTGGGGTGGGTTGCTTGATTGGGGTGGGTTGCTTGATTGGGGTGGGTTGCTTGATTGGGGTGGGTTGCTTTATTGGGCTGGGTTGCTTGATTGGGGAAGATTGCTTGATTGGGATGGGTTGCTTGATTGGGGTGGGTTGCTTGATTGGGGTAGGTCGCTTGATTAGGCTGGGTTGCTTGATTGGGGTGGGTTGCTTGATTGGAGGAGGCGACTGGAGGGGCGGAGGCTGCTGCACTGCACCTTTGCGAGGAGGCGGGTGGCGACTGGAGGGGCGGAGGCTGCTGCACTGCATCTGTGCGAGGAGGCGGGTGGCGAATGGAGGGGCGGAGGCTGCTGCACTGCACCTGTGGGATGGCAGCAGTGGGATGACGCACGGCAGGCACCACTGCTGCCGTGCTGATCACTGCTCGCCTTAGGAGGAACGGCGAGGCCAGGAGGGAGAAGTGCCACTGCTGGCGAGCGCGCCTGCATGCAGCTCCGACCCCTCCTGAATATTTTCTCTCTTCTCTTAATATTTTCACGCTCTTGTTCGCACTTGTTCTTAAACTGCTCACCTTTGCCGTCATTGCCACTACCTCCTCCTCTCGCCACTCGTGTTGAGCGATGATGTTGCGGTTGTGAGTGTGCCTGCTGCTTTTTCCCTTGTGTGTGCTTGCGTGTTCGGTTGTAAGTGTGCCTGCTGCGTACTCCCTTGTGTGTGTTTGCGTGTTCGATTGTAAGTGTGTCTGCTGCGCCTTGTGTGTTCTTGCGTGTTCGGTTGTAAGTGTGCCTGCTGCTTACTGCCTTTTGTGTGCTTGCATGTTCGGTTGTAAGTGTGCCTGCTTCTTACTCCCTTGTGTGTGCTTGCGTGTTCGGTTGTGAGTGTGCCTGCTGCTTACTCCCTTGTGTGTGCTTCATTGTTCGGTTGTGAGTGTGCCTGCTGCTTACTCCCTTGCGTGTGCTTCATTGTTCGGTTGTGAGTGTGCCTGCTGCTTACTCCCTTGTGTGTGCTTGCTCGTTTGGTTGTAAGTGTGCCTGCTCCTTACTCCCTTGTGTGTGCTTGCATGCTCGGTTGTAAGTGTGCCTGCTGCTGACTCCCTTGTGTGTGCATCTTCTACGTGCGCACAGGAGCGAGTGGAGCGAGGAGCAGCGCAGCGGGGAGCAGAGGCACTCTCCCCTTAATCATCTCTCTCCTAGGCACGCGGGGGAGCGAGCGTGTTGGGATGACGCACGGCCGGCAGTCACTGGAGTGTGGCTGCCTCCTATCCGCCCTGCTGACCACGCGCTCGGAGGCAACACGCGGAGGAGCAGGCGAGGAGGCGGCACTTCGGGCGGGGGGCCGGCGAGGAGGCAGCGCTACGACGAGGCATCTTTTTCTCACGTGTGCTGGCTTCTCCCCCTGCGTCCATGGGGTGAGGCGGAAGAACGAGACGGAGCGACTGACGGGTGGATTGAGACGATTACAAGGTGGGGTGCTGTTGCATGGAGAGTGAGAGCCATGCAGAGCCGAGGGAGCGAATGGCCTCGATCTTTTGAGGGTGGGGGCCCCCATCTCTCTCTTGATCTTGTCCTGAAGCTGGGGCCCGCCTTCGTCCTCTGCGGCTACTCACTTTCCTTCAACACCTTGGCCCTTGGATCTGTCCTCTTCCATGCCTCTGTCTGACGTCCTCCTGACCCGCACTCCGTCCTCACTCCTCCCCCTTCCATTCCCTTCAGTTCGGGCCTTCATGTGGAGCGAGGAGGGCGAGGGGGCAGCACGGCGGGGCAGCAAGAGGAGCTTATCTGCTTAATCCCCGCCTTCCTTCCCTTATGGGCTTCACGTGGAGCGAGGTGGGCGAGGGGGCCGCGCGAGGGGCAGCAAGAGGCGTCTCTCTGCATAACCCCCCCCTTCCTTCCCTTCAGCATGGCGGGTAGCGCGGAGGGCGACACGGCGGGCGGCACAACGGGCGGCACGGACGGAGGTGAGGTGCTGTTTCATCGCTGCAGCAAGGTAAGCTTCTTCCCTTGTCTGTTTCCGCCATCAACTATTCAAAGTTCTCCAATTTGTAGTGTGTGCTCGTTGGATTCATTATGCTCTCTTTCTTGTGTTTGTCATTCCACTTTTGGCATATTAACAGGTGGGCAACGCAGCAAGCGAGCAGCGCAGAGGGCGACACGGACGGAGGTACAATGTCTTGCTCCGTGCTTTTCACTTGCTCCTGGTTTCCTATTTGCTCCTGTTTTTTTCGCATTGCATGTTTTGTGTTCGTCTTGCATGTGTTGTGTTCGTCTAAAACCCCTCCCCTCCCCTCCCCTCCCCTCCCCTCCCCTCCCCTCCCCTCCCCTCCCCTCCCCTCCCCTCCCCTCCCCTCCCCTCCCCTCCCCTCCCCTCCCCTCCCCTCCCCTCCCCTCCCCTCCCCTCCCCTCCCCTCCCCTCCCCTCCCATCCACACTCCCCTTCCCCTGCAGGTTGATGGACAACAGTGGAAGTGGGGCGGCAGGCCGGGCGGCACGGACGGAGGTACAATGTCTTGCTCCATGCTTTTCACTTGCTCCTGTTTTCCTATTTGCTCCCGGTTTTTTGCATTGCATGTGTTGTGTTCGTCTTGCAAGTTCAGGCGAAATCAAGGTCGTCAGGAGCAAGTCGCGTGAGCCAGTTGCTGCGTGCTTTGTGAGTTTGAGATGCCTTGAAAGTCCGCCACAGCCGAGTGCAGGCAAAGTCAAAGTCGTCAGGAGCGAGGCGGGTTAGCCAGTTGCTGAGCGTGCTCTTGGCGTTGAGCGTGTCAGATGCCGCCAGCGTGGTGGGATCCTCGCGAGCAAAGTGCCTTCTGAAATGACTGAATCCCTGGCTCTCTCGCCATGTAACAGGGTTACCACATTGTCTCACCGTGATATTCGGAGCAACGGAGTTGGTGGGATCCTCTTTAGTCACCGCAGTGAACAGCTGCAGCGCCTGCCCATGCTCCTTGCGAGCAAAGTGCACGAGAGCCTTGTTCAGCCGCACCAGCCTCTTCATCTCCCCCACATTTGCTGCTGTCACCCGCCCTGCCCCCACACCACCTTCGCTCCCTCCTCCTGCTCCTGTTGCTCCTGCTCCTGCCCCTCCTGCTCCAGCTCCTGCTGTGTTACTCGCATCTCCTGTTGCTTCCCCTCCTCCCTCCCCCTCCCCTGCCCCCTCCCCTCCTCCTCCCCCACTCCCCCCTTCACTCTCCATCTCCACCTCGCGATGCACCACCATCGTCTTCACCAATCCAAACGCGGCGCTCGCGCCCTCCACGTCCCCCAGCTGCAGCCGAACGAGGCCGTACCGCGAGAGCAGGGCGGCGTTGCTTGGCTCGTAGCGCAGGAGGCACTGCAGCCAGAGGAGCGCGGTGGGGTAGTCGCGCTGGGCCAGGTGGTGGGAGACCAGCGCGTGCCGCACTGCCTGCCGCCTGCGCGCCCAACACGCCACCGACGCCGCCTGCTGCGATGCTGCTGCTGATACTGATGCTGAGGATGAGGGTACTGATGTTGATGTGCTGCTGCTGCTGGTGCTGCTGCTGCTGCTGCTGCTGCTGCTGCTGGTGGGTAAGGTTGAGGTGGTAACAGCAGCAGCAGCAGCACCACCCTCCCCATCCTCAGCTGACATAACATCTGCCATGCCTTCTCTTGTCTCTGTGCTCACGCTCTTGCTCATGCTGCTGCTCTTGCTGCTATCTGCAGGTGCTGCTCTCGCCTGTGTGTCTGCCATTTTTGCCTGAACAGCCTTCATCTGCCGTCCACACAGCAATGCACAGACGGATTGAGTCACTCAGTGGAGCATTCTGGAGAGATTTGCAAAATGCAGAATGCGATATGCCAAGTGCAGAGTGCTAAACCGCAGCCCACCACACTGCACCCACCTTAGCTGTGCTATGCAGTATCCCTGCAGAGCGCATAGTCGCTTCAGAGAGCTGGATTGCCCATGCGGTCGGGTTGCTATAGAGAACACACAGAGGGTGAAATGGCACACCCACACCGTGCACAAACCTGAGCTCACCACACTGCACCCACCTTAGCTGTGCAGTATGCCTGCAGGGCGCATGATCGCTCCAATGTGAGGGCCGGGTTGCCCATGCAGTGAGGCAGCTCTGCTGCCAGCCAGCGCAGCGCAAAGGGCAGCATGGAGCCTGGAATGGAAACGTGGGGAGGCAATGCGGGGAGGGATGGGAGCAGGGAGCAGGGATGGGAGCAGGGAGCAGGGATGGGAGCAGGGAGCAGGGATGGGAGCAGGGAGCAGGGATGGGAGCAGGGAGCAGGGATGGGAGCAGGGAGCAGGGATGGGAGCAGGGAGCAGGGATGGGAGCATGGGCGGGCTCTGCTGCCAGCCAGTGCTAGGGAAAGGGCATAATGGAGCCTGCACGCGAGGGAAACGGGCAGAAGCAGCACGGGAAGAGGGGCAGGGGCCGAAACATCACCTTTTGATTTGCCTCACTAGTGAAGGGGGTGGGGCTGAGAGATCACTTTTCGTCCCACAAAGTCTAGCCAGGAATCCAACAGGGTACCCACCTTTTCACCCAGGGTACTGAGGCAGAGTCCATGTTTCCCAACACAAGTGTAACACCCTAAGAGGGATTTGAACAGAGTACTCGCCTTTCCTCCCGGGGTACATGCCCGGGTGCGCCTCATATAGGTACTGCGGCGAGACCAGGGTGCCTTGAATTCCCACCATCTCCCTTCACAAGGGAACCACGTAGCGTAGCACCCACCTTTCCTCCCGGGGTACATGCCGGGGTGGGCCTCGTATCAATATTGTGGAGAGTCGAGGTTTCCCACCAGTGTGAGCTCCTCTGCCGCTGCCCCATACATGCGCAGCTTCATCAGCGCCAGCACGTGGTAACCGCGTAACGCCAGCTGCTGCGCCAGCCCCGCCAGCTTGTATCCCTCCACCACCTTGTCCACTATTGCTCTCCATGAGCCCTGCCGCTGGTGTAAGCATAGTAACCAAATGGCACATGCAATGCAGCAAGGGAAGAGTCGAGCTGGTATGAGCCGAGGCTAGGAGCCATGCCCTGCCAGCTTGTATCCCTCCACCACCTTGTCCACTATGCCCTCCATGAGCCCTGCCGCTGGTTGTTGCAGCATGGAAAACACAGAGGGGAGAGTCAGTATGAGCCAGCCCGCCAGCTTGTAACCCTCCACCACCTTGTCCACTATGGCCCGCCACGACCCTTGCCTTGGGTTGGTGACAACAACAATGCATAAAAACAAGATTACATATGCGATGCGGCGAGAGGAGAGTGGAGCGGGCATGCCCAGCCCGCCAGCATGACTCCCTCCACCACCTTGTCCACTATCGCCCGCCATGAGCCTTGCCTCTGGTTGTTGATCAGACCAAAGTGGAGGATGTATGCATGCAATGCAAGGCAAGAGAACAATACAACAGAGCTTGTACACATTGCAGCTAGCACAGCTTACAGCGAGTACACCTTAAAACGAGTACACCTTGTAGTGAGCACAGCTTAAAGAGAGTACAGCAGGAAACGAATACACCTTATAGCGAGCACAGCTTACAGAGACTACATTCTGAAACGAATACACCTTGTAGCGAGCAGAAGTTACAGCGAGCACAGCAAGGCCGTCCAAGGAGGTGCTGACGTCGAGGCTGGACGTGAGGCGAAAGCTGACCGGCGGGGATGAGCGCGCTGCAAACGCACTGCTGCTGCTGCCACTGCTAGTGCTAGTGGTGCTAGCGGTGCTGATGTTAGCGGCACCAATGGCGGTGGTGCTGCTGCTGCTAGTAGTGGTGGTAGTGCTGGTGCTGGTGGTGTTGGAAACAGGAGGAGCGCCTGAACCTGACATTAACGCCCCTCCCGCTGCTGCACTCACCCCCACTCCTATCACCCCGCCTGGCAGCCGCCCTCCTGCCCCCCCAGCTGCTCCCCCGGTTGCCCCGCCTGCGGGCTTGGCAGTGCCAGGGGGGCCTTGCGGGGGAGGTCTGTACCCGGGCGGGGGGTGAGTGGGGCGCGATAGAGGTGCGTGTGACTGTGGCGGGTGTGACTGTAGTTGTGACAGAGGCGGGTGGGATAGAGGGTGGGGAAGCGATGGGGGAGGGTGAGATGGAGGGGGGTGGGAGGGCAAGGAGCGTGACGGGGGGGGTGCGGAGAAGGGGGATGAAACGGCGGGTGTGTTTGTAGTGGGTGTGAACCTGGAGGGTGTGATTGCGGGTGGGAGACGGGAGGGGCGGAGAGAGGGCCGCGCACGGAGAGCGGGGAGTGCGGCGCAGGCCCGGCCGGGCCAGGCGCAGGCGCAAGGCCGCGGAAGGGCGGATGGGCGGCGTCGGCGGGAGGCGGGGGGGTGGGGGACTTTCGCTGGTGCGCGTCGAGCGAGTTCGGCGCGGAGGGGCGGAGCGGAGACGAGTGCGAGTAAGACATCATGTGGGCGGAAAACCCGCTCGGGTGATGCGCGCCCGGTCGCTGTACCGGATCGTGCTTATAATGAGGATCCGACGCAAGGTGCGGATCAGCTTTCGTGGGAGATCTGGGTCCATGCGAACCGCCTGCAGTCATTGGCGACGAGTGGTAACCAGCGCTGGCGACAGCTTGAACGCTAGGGGACCCACTCCGAAACCCGGATAACCCGGATTGATCGAACCCTAATCCACTCCCCGCGGACGCCGCCACTGCTGCCGCCACCGGTGCCGCTAGCGGGGCAGCTACAGCCGCCGCTGCCGCCGGCGCAACTCCCCCGCCGTCAACGGTGGATGCGGGAGGCGGAGAAAGTAGAGTCTCCGCCCGCCATTTGCCCCGTATGGTCATTCCCGCTTCCCCCATCTGTCGCCTGCGCTTCCGCAGTTTCCCCCAACGCCTGCGCTTCCCCGCTTCCTCCCAGCGCCTGCACCTCCCCCCAGAAATCCATCCCCGCATCCGCACCCCCCCCCCCCCCCCCCTCGCCCTCCGCCTCCCCCCAAAACGAATCGCTGTTTTCCGCCGTAGACTTTCCGCTCGCCTCCCATGCCCGGTCTGACGACGGTTTAGTCTTTGCGACGCTCGCCGTGAGCCCCGGATTTAGCGACGCTTTGGCCTCCTCCGCCGCAGAAGCCGGCGGGTTCTGCGCTGAGAGAAAACCGCTGGTTCCTGACTGGAAGTCCCCCCAGTCGCCCTCCATTGGCGGGAGTTTATAAAAAGAAACCTACTGAGGATTCCCACTGAGATTCTCATTTTACCTTGAACAGCTACCACTAGGTGAAAATAAGTGTCACTGCGGTAGTGATGCAGGAAACTGGAACTAATCTGGTACATACGATGCTCCAGAAGAATTTGGATTTGAGTGGTGGTCGCTTTTTGACACGAGCTCTGGGACTGACACGAATTTCGTACTGTGTCAGGGAAGGCAGGAAGTTCTAGTACGGTGTCAGCGATCACGAAACCAGGGTAACAATACTATCGCTCGGCGACAGTCAGTTACACGACTGCATTGGAGTTTCTGATTTCGCGAGCGCCAGCAGATCACGAGACCCACTGACGGCTCTCAGGCAAATTTCGTTTGTTTTCCAGAAGAACACAACCGCAACAATCGGAGACGGTTACGTTTAGCTGTTCGCGATGGTGTGATCATCCAAATCCATCGCAAAAAAGCAGGCTCTGCTTTCGGCTGTTTAGGGTGATCGAGGCGTTGGCCTTGTTCGATAGCTTTGAAGTCCAGGGGTAACCACAGCCCTATCAAAGTATTGCGTGGCTCGGTAAAGGCTCGGCAGCGGCTAACAAGGGCTTTAAACCCGACGAGAGGTTAGGCAGATCCAAACCAGAACCTCAAGTACGTTTGGAGCACCTACAAATCTGGTGTGGGAATTTCCACTGCGGACCGCGGTCCAAACACTGTTGCCAACTAGTCAAGAACAGTGATCTAGGGGCAAAATGGACTTTGAAGAGTTCTGTTTCACGCTAGGTGTTCAAACGACAGCGAGGCCGCTGCACTTTGGTGGGGTATTCGCGAAAGTTTAAAAACAAAATTACCCTAACCCCAAGAGGGTTCAATTTTCCCGTTGAACTACTGAATTGTTTTTGTAGGGATCCATTTTCTGCCCAGGGTACTTTTGGTGTCGAAATTAAAAAAAAAAACGGAAAATGAACTGTGCTTTTGGACGTGCAATTTTGGACTGTTGTGTATTTACTGGTGCTTTTGCCCTGGTTGTGTATCCTTTGACTACGCGGTTTTGACAGTTGCGGCTCGGACTGTTTCTACAGCTGTCAGTACTGTAACCCAAATCAAGTTGCATCTCGAAGGTAGTGACCCCAGGTTCGGAAACCCTAGGCCGACTCGGCTATACTTTGGTGGGGCTGTACAAAAGAATGAAGTGCAATCGAACAGGGCCGTTGTTTACCTGCGCTGATGGCTGTTTGCCAAGTGCCCCGTAAATGGATTGGCGTTCAGCCAATTGTGACTCACTTACCGGGCCCCACGTAGAGCTTCGTAAACGACCGATTGGGGGTACCACAGTAGCACAAGCCCAACTGGCGAACATGGTCGCATACAGCTGTGTAGTGCAGTTCGCGTCGGAAAATTGCGTGCCAGGTAATCTGGGGTGGGCTACTGGCGATATACGGGGACCCCCGTTTCAGTCTGTAAATGGTAATTCAATGTCGCGTACAGTCATTGACGACCTTGCACCCGGGGTCGCGACTGCGGAGAGTCACCCTACAACGGGAGTGGACTACGAAGGAGAGCACGGAGTTGTGTGAGTGATCGTAGCGCTCTAGTGGCGTTCTATCAGAGTTCTTACTACTTGCTGTGTTCACTGAGAAATTTGGCAAGAGTTTCCACTAAGGAAATTGAAAGAACATTGAAAATTGAGTATTAGAGTACAAAGAAGAGCATGCAAGTGATATCACTGGAATGGCATTGCAATCCCTAGCAAGCATTCTGCAAGGCGAATTGCCAGCACTGCATCAGAGCGATTCGCCAACGCTGCAGCAGGGCGGCCTGCCAGCATAGCAGAAGGGCGACATGTCAGCGCTGCAACAGGGCGGCCTGCCAGCGCTGCATTCGCAGGTGAATATCTGCGCAGGTCTGCACCTGCCGAGTAGGTGCAGGTAGACGGTTACACCGTCAGAGACATTGCGCAGGTGCCAGGTAGAAAACGCTCTGACGATTTTGTCAGATGTCCACCGTCGAGCACGTGATGCCATTTCGCAGGTCGAATTTCGCTAAGAGCCACCTGAGCGAATTTCGCATGCCTTCGCAGAGTTTCGCAGTCGCGCGAATTCGGCCGACCAGTTCGCCGAGACGAGGCTCGCTGAACGGTGCCCTTTGATCAGAGAACGGGGTGACAAAATACTAGCGTGAGTTTGGCTTAGGAGCCATAGTTTAGGAGCCTTGGTAGTTGAGTTCGAGTTTAGGAAAAGTATCGAGAGGTTTGGAAGGAGAGGAAAAATGGGGTTTCACTAGCAAGAGTTGGGATACAAGTACAACACCCTAAATTGGGTTGTACTCATTACAGAGTACCCCACTGCAGGCTAGACAGCAAATACATTCTGACACACCCCCATAGCCAAAGTGGGGTGTAATCAGCACAATGAGCAAGCATAGAGCAAGAGTTCACAATAGGTAAGTAAGGCTAGAGCTAATCACAGAGGACAAGTGAGGAGGAGGAGAGACTGTGGGGGAGAGAAGATGGGAGGCGACTGCTGACGCTGCAGACACACAGACGAGCTGCTGGCTCAGTGGCTACCGGAACAGCGCTCCGGACTACTGGGGTAACTGGCCCCGCGGCTAAAAGTAGCGGCAGACGAGCAACGGACCCACGGGCGACTGGCGACTACCGGAGATTGTAGCCTCCGGACTGCTGCTGCTGCTGACGACAAGACTGCTGCCTCCACTCAACCTCCCCAGCTGCCTAACGCCCTTCTCACACACCCCCTGCTCAAACCCTAGCCCTACACCCACAGCACCCCCTTAAACCCTAAACCCCAGACTCCCACACATCCACCCCCCTCAGCGAGAGCTGCAGCAGTGGGAGACGAAGGAGGAGGAGGAGGAGGGAACGGCACGCACAACCGACACCCCCACAACCATCACCCCCACACCCACCCCCCCACGGCTGCACCGGGTCCAGGAGCGGCTGCTGCAGGGGCCAGGGGCGGCTGCTGCTGGGGCGGCTGCTCCAGGGGCTGCTGCTGCTGGGGCGGCTGCTCCAGGGGCTGCTGCTGCTGAGGCGGCTGCTCCAGGGGCTGCTGCTGCTGGGGCGGCTGCTCCAGGGGCTGCTGCTGCTGGGGCGGCTGCTCCAGGGGCTGCTGCTGCTGGGGCGGCTGCTCCAGGGGCTGCTGCTGCTGGGGCGGCTGCTGCTGGGGCGGCTGCTCCAGGGGCTGCTGCTGCTGGGGCGGCTGCTCCAGGTGCTGCTGCTGCTGGGGCGGCTGCTCTAGGGGCTGCTGCTGCTGGGGCTGATGCTGCTGGGGCGGCTGCTCCAGGTGCTGCTGCTGCTGGGGCGGCTGCTCCAGGTGCTGCTGCTGCTGGGGCGGCTGCTCCAGGGGCTGCTGCTGCTGGGGCTGCTGCTGCTGGGGCGGCTGCTGCTGGGGCGGCTGCTCCAGGGGCTGCTGCTGCTGGGGCGGCTGCTCCAGGGGCTGCTGCTGCTGGGGCGGCTGCTCCAGAGGCTGCTGCTGCTGGGGCGGCTGCTCCAGGGGCTGCTACTGCTGGGGCGGCTGCTTCAGGGGCTGCTGCTGCTGGGGCGGCCGCTGCAGTGGCGGCGGCTCCAGGGGTTGCTGCTGCTGGGGCGGCTGCTCCAGGGGCTGCTGCTGCTGGGGCGGCTGCTCCAGGGGCGGCTGCTGTTGCAAGGCAGGCCGCTCCAGGGGCGGCTGCTTCAGGGGCGGCGGCTCCAGGGGCGGCTGCTGCAGCGGAAAGTAGGAGGGAGGGGAGGGGAAGGGCGCGGCCCCCATTGTGCCTTGACGGGCGATGTGCTAGGGAGCCGCGCAGGTCCCCAAAAGTGCCTCGACTGGCAACGAGAGGGGACCGCGCGCAGGCCCCTAAGGCGCCGCGACGAGGCAACGGGAGGGGCCGGCTCGCGGGCCCCGAAAGTGCCGCGACGAGGCGACGGGAGGGACCTGCGTGCAGGCCCCCAAAACGCCTCGACGAGGCGACGGTCGGGGCCAGTGCGCGGGCCCCTAAGACGCCGCGACGAGGTAGGAACCCGCCGCGCGCCTCGGGGCGCACGGCGGGCAGAAAACCGCCACGCGCTCCGAGCGCGTGGCGGGAAGAAAAATGGGATGTCGCGCGCCACGGGGCGCGCGACACACAGTAGGGCAGCGGAATCGAGTGGGCCCACAGGCCAGGAACGTTAAGCTCTGATAACATGACAAAATACTAGCGTGAGTTTGGCTTAGGAGCCATAGTTTAGGAGCCTTGGTAGTTGAGTTCGAGTTTAGGAAAAGTATCGAGAGGTTTG